GTGCGATTTTAATCCCGTTTATATGGTAAAAAGAGTTTTATTTTTGGATTATTTTGCTCTTTTAAACTGATTATTCTGGGAAATAACGGATTTTAGCAAATGATCTGAAATTTTGCGCCCCAAATATTCATCCTCAAAGCTTCAAAGCATTTCCAGACTGTCATTTAAAAAATCTCAGTCGAGTTCCTTTAGAATAGTAGTGCCGGTATAACCTTATATAGCTACATTAGATTGGAGTGAGCCAGTTATATGTGTTGCTTAAATTTGTATATATCATGACATAACTTATATTTAAAAATTGTTCATATTGTATCATAGTACACAAATTTATATACACCGGTATATATTGTAAAATTAAACACCAGTGGATTCATTATGTAAATATATTCTTTTAAACATGTATACATAAAGACGGCTTACCTGTTGATATATGTATCTCTGTTTATGAACAATATCTTTCCTTCGTTGAACGTGAAATCGGGAAAAAAAATGTAATGATTTTACTGTCCAGCTTATTTATGTTGTCAGATGTACGGGAAATATATTCATTAACGATATTCAATCCTTTTAAAATTGGCATCGTTATTAAGTATTAACAAAGAGATGGTAGAATAGCGTTACGGTATTCCCTTTATTTACTGTTTAGTATAAACAACTTTGTATCATAGTTAGGAGATATTTCTAAATATTGAAAAAGGGTCAGAGTGAAAGCGTTAAAACAAAAATTCATAAAAATGTTGTCTTTTATTTATCAGATTTTTTAAACAAAATGGCGAAAGAAGTCCCTTAAAATAAATATGAGTTTTGACTCCGACCACTTTCATATTTATATTTCAAATTTACGTTTTACAAATATGAAATATATTTGACTGATAGCATCATATTTCATGGGTAGAATTAAATAATACTTCTGTGTACAACTTCAATGATTATATTTATAAATCGCCATTGAATATTTTTTATAAAATTAGGCTTAATAAACAGTTTTAAGTTATTGAGTTTAATCTGTATGTTCACATACATTTGCCAAAAAGAACAAGAAATGTCGAACAACACATATGCTTTCTAGCCCTTAACTCACATAATTGGTAATTTTGTTATAGAAACTTGCCATAAATTGGTACATGGAAGTGTTCAATTAGATCTATGGAAAGAAAGAAAACTAATGAAGACTTTGTGATAAATAGTTTTCAAGATAATGAGGCATTTAAGGCCCCTGTGACCTAGACCTTTGAACTAGTGACCCAAAATCAATAGGGGTCATCTAATGGTTATGACCAATCAATATTAGAAATATGAAGACTTTGTGATAAATAGCTTTCAATATAATGAGCGGAAACCATATTAACATTCAAGAACCCTGTGACCTTGGCCTTTGACCTTGTGACCCCCAAAATCAATAGAGGTCACATACTAGTTATGACCAATCAGTATGTAATATGAAGACTTTGTGATTAAAAGTCTTCAAGATAATATGCGGAAACCATTCTGAAATTTAAGGCCCCTGTGACCTTGACCATTGATCTAGTGACCCAAAAAGCAATATGGGTCATCTGTTGGTTATGACCAATCACTATGTGAAATATGAAGACTTTTGTGATAATTATCTTTCAAGATAATGAGCTGAAATCATACAACCATTCAACGACCCTGTGACCTTGATCTTTGACCTGGTGACCAACCAATATGACCAACCAATATGTGAAATATGAAGACTGGGATAAATAGTAACCAAAATAAGAAGCGGAAATCATTTTACCATTCAAGGTCACTGTGACCTTGACCTTTGACCTAGTGAGCCCAAAATCAATAGGGTCATCTACATATACAAGTTATGACCAATCAATGGTAAAATATGAAGACTTTGTGATAAATTGTGACCAAAATAATGAGCAGAAACCATTTTGATATTAAACGCCCCTGTGACCTTGACCTTTGACCTAGTGACCCAAAATTCAATAGGATACTAGTTATGACCAATAAATATGTGACATATGTACACTTTGAGATTAATACTTTTCAAGATATTCAGCGGAAACCGTTCAGACATTTAAGGCCCCTGTGACCTTGGACCTAGTGACCCTTAAATCAATAGAGGTCATCTACTAGTTATGACTAATCAATTTGTGAAATATGAAGACTTTGTGATAAATTGTAACAAAGATAATAAGCTGAAATCATATTACCATTCAAGGCCCCTGTGACCTTGTCCTTTGACTTTATGACCCCAAAATCAATAGGGGTCATCTAATAATTATGTCACAGGGTGAGGAAAATGTGCAGCCTGACCGGGACTCGAACCCGGGCCCCTTGGAATACCGTTCCGCGGCTCTACCGACTGAGCTATCCGGCCGCTTACACATCTTCTCCCCTAAATAGTGAACAGTTCTGAACCGTGACATACTTCACCACAATGTTGAAATTCGTCCTCAAATTTCACAAAGCTACAGAGCAATGCTAATTGAACTCTGGGCTATAAGCAGTCACGTCCCCCGTTGGGCGCTAAATGTCACAGGGTGAGAAAAATGTGCAGCCTGACCGGGATGCGAACCCGGAACCCTCGGAATACCGTTCCGCGGCTCTACCGACTGAGCTATCCGGCCGCTTACACATCTTCTTCCCTAAATAGTGAACAGTTCTGAACCGTGACAATTATGACCAATCAATTTGTAAAATATGAAGACTTTGTGATGAATACTTTTCAAGATACACAGCGGAAAATATTTTGACATTTAAAGCCCCTGTGACCTTGACCTTTGACCTAGTGACCCCAATATTGATATGGGTCATCTGCCAGTTGTGACAAATCACTATGTGAAATATTAGAACTTTAAGATAAATGGCAAAAATCATATTACCATTCAAGGCCCCTGTGATCTTGACCTTTGACCTAGTGACCCCAAAATCAATAGGGGTCATCTTTTAGTTATGACCAATCAATATGTGAAATATGAAGACTTTGTGATAAATTGTGACCAAAATAATGAGCAGAAACCATTTTGACTTTTAAGGCCCCTGTGACCTTGACCTTTGACCAAGTGACCCCAAAATCAATAGGGTACTAGTTATGACCAAACAATATGTGAAATATAAAGACTTTGCCATGAATTGTAACCAAGATAATGAGCGGAAACTATTCTGACATTTGAGGCCCCTGTGACCTTTGATCTAATGACCCCAAAATCAATTATGTCATCTACTAGTTATGACCAATCACTATGTGAAAAATGAAGACTTTGTTATAAATTGTTTTCAAGATAATCAGCGAAAACCATGTGGTCTACTGATTGACAGACCGACAGACAGACCAATATTAGCAAAACATTATACCCCACTTCTTCGAAGGGGGACATAATAAGGGGTCTCTTCGCCATGAAAGTTATCAACCAAGCGAGTATATGGAAAATTATTTGCATGATACTATTGAGGGTACACAAACTCATCTTCCGAACTTAAACTTTGATGTTCAGAGGCCAAAACCAACATGGGTCTTCTTACTCAATAAAAGCAATCTCACTCAAATGTTCTCCATTGTTTCTGCGGTTCAGTGAATGGTGTATATATCCACCAACTCAACATCTTTTTCAAAACAAAATACCCATATACAAAAATTAAAGAATTACAAAAGAATTTATAATTTTTTTGAAAAATACATCTTATTCATTAAAATAAAAGAGCTTCAAAATCACAAAGGTTTTGATTGGCAACTGATTAAGCATAGCATATATATATATATATAATATATCAACTACAATACATATTACATCCATTGTAAATTCGTATTTAATAAAATAAATTATTTTAAGCCAGTTAAATGTAAGTTCAAATCCTACTAAATTTTAACAAAACTCCATTTGTAATATTAATCTAATTAAACAGACAAATCAATCAAACAATAACATCACTGATATCTTTTCATGTTGGATATGAATTCTTTTTAAATTACCAAATTTCAATATACCACTATTTTGTTGACACATTATATCAACTATTCAGGAATTTTGTATGAAAATAAATATTTCACTGTAAGTAAACAACATTGTTATCTTCACATGCATGACAATATTAACTGAAGACAAAGCACGGTTAAGGCACATTAAATAAGACAATGATATGTAGCATATACATGTACGTTATATAATACATAACAAGAGCGATCAGTAATCACATGTGTCGCCTCATGATGGCCAATTTCATGGTGGGACAAATTTTGTGACAGACGGACAGACAGACGGACAGTGCACAACTAGACTTGGTACTGATCATTCCTGTAAAGTTTGGATAAAATTGCACCTGTAGTTTATGATTAGTAGTCCGGACAAGCTTTTGCGTATCTGGCAACACACAGAAAAAAACACCTTTTTATCAGAGGGCCATAACTCGGCCAAAAATCATTCAACCGGAAAACCCATGCAATATGCGCAAGGACTTGAGCTACAGATCAATCCTGTAAAGTTTCATTGAAATTGCATTAGTGGTATAAGAGAAGTAGTCCGGACAAACTTTAAAAATAAAAATTATTAAAGGGCCATAACTCTGACAAAAATCATTGAACCGGGAAATGCTGACAATATGCACAACTAGACTTGGTACTGATCATAATTGTAAAGTTTGGATGAAATTGCACCAGTTGTTTATGTGGAGTGGTCCGGACAAGCTTTTGTGTATCTGGCAACATACAGAAAAAACACCTTTTTATCAAAGGGCCATAACTCAGCCAAAAATCATTCAACCGGAAAACCCGTGCAATATGCGCAAGGACTTGAGCTACAGATCAATCCTGTAAAGTTTCATTGAAATTGCATTGGTGGTATAAGAGAAGTAGTCCGGACAAACTTTAAAATTAAAAATTATTAAAGGGCCATAACTCTGACAAAAATCATTGAACCGGAAAATGCTGACAATATGCACAACTCGACTTGGTACTGATCATTCCTGTAAAGTTTGGATGAAATTGCACCAGTAGTTTATGAGGAGTAGTCCGGACAAGTTTTGTGACGGACGGACGGACAGACAGACAGACAGACCGACAGACGGACGACGGAGAAGTGATCCCTATATGTCGCCACTACTCCGTAGAGGCGACACAAAAATTACATTGCATTTCAAATTGGATTTCAGTAACAATACAGATATCACATCATATCATAAAAATTTACTGAAAATGTGTATATTTTCATGTAAAACTGTACTTTATTTGGTACATTTACATGATCAAACATGCGAATCTTTACGTTTTAACACAATTTCATGTAAATTTCAGTGATGGCAGAGTACATGCAAACAATTGACCAATCACAATAGAATATAACATGAGTAAAAAGATTCAGGTTGGCAAACAAAATTTATAAACAAGTTTATTTTAAAATAAAAATTTACTATATTGATAGATTTTAGTAGTTTCTTTTTCTTCACACAGTTTAATCTACATGTATTTAGATAACGGATTATTACAAAATTAATGACCAGATCAATGCTGCATAATAAACAGAGAAATTGTATACACGTTTCACTTGTTTGAAAGAATGTTTCCTATGTAGACTGTTTAGGATTCTTTTTTCTTGTCTTTATGTATATAATTTATGCATTCTGTGATTTTAAAAAAAACAACTTGGAAACAAAAAAAATCACACTTTTAATTTGAATGGAAAATTTGACTAAAATTAACACAATAAATGCCAATGATATGAAACAGGACGACTTTGGTAACAATTGAGCCGCGCCATGACAAAACCAACATAGTGCGTTTGCGACCAGCATGGATCCAGACCAGCCTGCGCATCTGCACAGTCTTATCAGGATCCATGCTGTTCGCTATCAGTTTCTCTACTTTTAATAGAGTATGTAAGCGAACAGCATGGATCCTGATTAGACTGTGCGGATGCGCAGACTGGTCTGGATCCATGCTGGTCGCAAACCCATTATGTTGGTTTTGTCATGACGCGGCTAAATTTATATACCTTACATGTGTACATGTTATAAAACCTATAGACAGCCTTTAGCTTTTCAGTTAATGAATGCATAAAGGTATACTAATTAATTTAATGATGCACATTCTAGCACTGATTATTCTAATTAATTATTTTCTGATTATCTAAGGAGAGGCACCAAAAAAAATAAGGTATGGCTTAACAGCCAGTTGATTAACTAAGCTATAAACTGATAAGCTGATTATAATATATTGTTTTTTTGTGACTAAATTTTTGTGACGCACATCACAGTGGTAATTGGTTAAATCATCTACCATTGAAAATGTACAGTATGTCGACAACATTTACTGTGTTCATACTGTGACGGTGTATACTGTCAACATGTAACGAATATACTAAAATATGTACTGGTCTCCATACCATGTATTTTCAGACACATTTCAAATTATATCTTTCATGACTATCATAATCTAATTTTTAAAACAAAACAAAACAATACATTGTACAATTCACAACACTTGTCTGGTTTTCATACAATTCCCTTTTCATAAGTTCTGTTAAATGCTAAGAAAATTAATCAGTAATGACAAGTTTCAAGAATAAACAATACAGATAACATGCTATTTCAACAATAGACGTAAGATATATACATGTACATTCATATCCATATAATACAAATATATCTATCTCAACATCTTGGAATGATAGAAAATCAAATTAATTCAATTTGGAAAGTACATAGTTGATCTTAGCAAAAAATGTATTTTTACAAAAATAATATTCAATTCCATTTACTTACTGCACCAAGTAACAAGCAGCAGATTTGGAATTATATATTATAGTTATCATATTATAGTATAATGTTATAAGTACTTTTTTCTCAATATTCTATATACGTTCTGATTGATTTAAAGTATCTAAAATACCTTTAGTTTATAAGAATCCTATTTTTTATTGTTGAAAAAACAAACAAACAACAACTTATTTTAAAAGGCAGTTTGTTAATGAATTAGATGCATTACACTGCTGTATGTAACTATGTACGTGTGTATGAATAAATGTATGTTATTTATGCCATTTGTAACACAATTTTAGTCATATCTTTGAAACTGAAATTCCAAGAGTAGTAAACTATTGCAATATTTCCCAAAAGTTAGTGATCATTCTCATTAGGTTCACAAACATATTACACAAATGTCAGAAATCAATTACAAAATATTTACAAATATTGCAGTCTCTTAAATTACATATGAAAGAAAAGATGTTCATGAAAAAAAGAGTATCTCAAGACTGACATATTTTTGTACCATGTTTTGTTAATATTTTACCAATTAATTATCTACCGGTAGTTCATGAAATTATATATTTTCCGTTGAATTTCATTTTATCAAAAAAGATTCTAATCTGCAACTAAGTTGTAGTACTGGACAAAAATACAGACAACACCAAAACTATAAAAATCGAGCTGCTCCATGACAAAACCAACATAATGCGTTTGCCACCAGCATGGATCCAGACCAGCTTTCGCATCCACGCAGTCTGATCAGGATCCGAGATGTTCGCTTACAAACCCTATAACAAGTAGAGAAACTTACTGTGAACAGCATGGATCCTGATCAGACTGTGCGGATGCACAGGCTGGTCTGGATCCATGCTGGTCTGGATCCATGCTGGTCGCAAACCCATTATGTTGGTTTTGCAATGCTCAATTATCTTAACGCCATTTTTGAGGGTCAGGATAATATACCTTTGCCAATGCATATACAAGAAATATTGTATTTATAGAAAATACAGCAAGTATAAGATAAGTAGAAAAGGCAAAAACAAAGAGTAATCATAAAAATATTTTAGATTAATCATGAATATTATGGTATATAGCAAATAAATATAACAAATCTATAACAAGATCTTCTGTTACTCTTTGGTCAATGGCTATTAAATACATGTTTGTTTGTTTGTTGGTTTCATTTTACGCCTTTTCCTAACAGTATTTTAGTCATATGGATGGGTAGTTTCCTAACCATCGTTCCTGGAGAATTACACCAGTACTAGACTACCTTCCTCCATGCTAAACTACCAAAGCATCTCCCGGGGACCTAACCCACGCCAGAGAGGTAACTGGATTAGAAGTCATCGACTCTAACCCCTCGACCACGGAGGCGGTACTATTAAATACATAAAAGTTTCCAGATATCTACATGATAATCATTATTCTCTACTTTTTCTTATACATGTTTAGAAAATGCATCAAAAAAATGTTGTTACTGACATTTCAAAGTAATTTTATGTATATAGTTTCTCTTCGCCAATTATTTATAAATAATTGCTTATTACAAATTCTTCAAGAGAAAAACATGTCATTATAATATAATGAGGGGAAAAAAAGATATGTTTCAGAGCTAAATGTGATAATTAAGCATCTTATTTACGGGTACACAGTGAATTAAAGCTTATACAGCAACAGAAAATGTACAAACAAAGTTAATGAAACTGTATATGTCCCATCCCCTTGTTGAGAAAATAAAAACTAAAATAAAGGAAATTAGTTAATGAATAAGATTAAATAAAATATAAAGATCAGCATAGGTAGAATAATCAATATCAAGATTTAAGGATTTATAAAAAAATATATACATTTTGGTTTGACTCGCTGCTATGGTAACTAACAGATATACAGTTAGATGCTGAACGAGTTTGTGCCAATCTTTAGCCGTAAATCACAGATAACTTAAGGAAGAAACTTAACTTTTAAACCCTGATTGAAGGACAGATATGTACAGATAAAACAAACAAAAAATATATACAAACGACAGGTTATATCCCTATAAGGCTCAATATATAAAATGGAAGAAACATTTGGAGGTATGCATTGATAAATATATGGCAAATGTACAGATAAACAGTAAAGGTATTCCTATATTTTGTGACCTTCAGTAACATTTACCAAACAACTAAACAAAACAAGAGGATAAATATACACCGTAATGCAAATTTGTTTTAATAATTAAACCAAATCTTTCAAATATCTAACAGAAGGGGATTTACTTTTTACAACTACATGTATAAAATATTATTATAAAATATTATAAAATAGTTAACTTTTGGACGGGGCTAGAGAAGATTCACCTGATTATTGTAAGGACTTCCATGGTTAATTGGAATTTCCATATCACTGACAATTAGAAGGAAAACAAAATTGTCAATATCTAAAAACTCAAGTTTCAAGAAATTAGTACAGTCCATGTGTATTATATGCACAAGTTCTTACATTTATTTTTATTACTTTCATTATTTCTAACTAAATATGTTTTTCTATTAATGGGTGTCTGTCTTAGTTTTGACTTTGTTAATTGCAGACTTATTAAAAATGATGTACTGAAGAAAATGATTATGTTTTGAGTTTTTGATAAAATTCAGTGTATGACTGTCAACATGTGTGTTAAGATATATATTAACACTGTCATTACCATTTAACGATTATATTTCTTCAACTGATATGATTTTATTTTGAAGATCGCGCCATTGTAAATAAGGTGTTACAAATCTTTATACAACGTTATGTCTTAATGTGTTACCTTCTGTGAATGAAGTCATTATTATTATTTAAGATGATTCTATAACCAAAAGGCCATATAAACTAAATCACCCAAATGTTAGTGTTTGTATAATGCAAGTTAAATGACGATCCACCCGGCCTTTTGGGCTCTGTAAGTATCAAGCCCGGACATGTCCCCTGTCATACATTTAAAAGTTGAATTATGAAGCACAAAAATGGAGATAATTTACCTCTGTTCAATTGCCACAGAGTATTAGTCAAAGGAATCAATTTTTCTTTGAAAGTAGGTCACTGTTCACCAGCCAATGAGAATTAACCTAACATACATTTACCTTTGACAAAATGAATAATGGAAATGATAGGTCAGCAACCATACAGGCTGTTGTGTCAGCAAAAAGATCTGCCTTTAATCTGTTATGACATACTAGGACTGGTGCTCATGCACCATAGTAATAGTTATGTATTGTAGATACAGGGATTTTACCTAATATTTATACACAACCTATTCGCATGCCAGCCTTTCAATTAGAGAAAGTACAACAATCAATAGGGACTTACAGTGGTATTGTAAAGGCCTGTACTTAGACATGTTTCATTAAATAAAATTGATCAATTATATGTGTCACTTACAATCAGTGGTCATTAAGTGATTAAAATAATGATTGAGTGGTCATGAAATTCTGAATATCATACATTACGACTTAGTGTAGCAATAAGCAAAGGACACCCAAACCAGCATACATGTGAACTCTCCAACTTTTAGCAGGATACTCCCACTTTCTGCAGCCATATTTTCAAAAACTTTTCTTAAAATTAAAGAAATCTCCCTTTTTTGATGTCAGATTTTCTTTCTTTGTTTATTGCAAATTCTAAAATCTCCCTCTTTTTGAAGGAAAATCTCCCACTTGATCATTGAAAAAAGTTCACATGTATGCCAAACCAGTGATATGCTAACCTTCCTTGAGTGGACATGCATTTAATTACAGACAGGGGAAGACCCCATTCATGACATTATACACCAAACAATTTTGTGCATATATTAGTAATTATACATGATAATATTCTAGGGACTATGTAACATCAAAATAATAATCTTAATTTAATAAACAAAATTGACAGTATTTTAAATATGACAAAATTAAACATCTCAAATCCAAATTTGATTATAAAAAATATATACAAATATATTGGAACATATGGAATCCTGACTTGAGTCTTTGCAACGATACATCAAATTATACAACAAAACAAAATATCACTTTTAATTAGCACATTATATCTTAACAACAAAATAAGCAACACATATACAGTATAATTAACAATATTTGGAGGATATGGGACTTATATAGCATATAACAATTACAGCAATAAATACATGAAGTATCTTAAATTAACAAAAAAAGGCATATCTGAGAGATTGTATACCATCTTGGTAAAAGCTTTTGTTTTGACTAGACATCATAATATACACAGCAAGTAAACCATTCTACATTTATCATTCTCAGGTATGATCCAATAAATTTGGTACAACTACATAATGATTTGGAACAAAGAATAATTATTCATGATCAATGATAGGGATCACAATTTCAATCAACAATTTTTTGTTTGTCTGGTTTGGTACAGTGCACCAACACATATGGTGCCAAAACATGAAAGACAATACTGGCTATCTAACAAGAGCTGTCGGTAGGACAGCAACGCTCGACTATTCTGAGTGCTTGATAGTAAAAAAAATGCTTGATACAGTTACCTCCTCCTGTTTACAGGTTGGGGTCATGATGGTGAACAAGTGTGCAAAGATTCAAAGCCATATGTCTATGGACTTTGAAAATATTTGAGGTATTACAGAAACTTTAACATAAATTCTAAGTCAAAAAAGGGGCATAATTCTGTCAAAATGCTTGATAGAGTTACCTCCTCATGTCTACAGGTTGGGGTCATGATGGTGAACAAGTGTGCAAAGTTTCAAAGCCATATATCTATGGACTTTGAAAATATTTGAACTATTACAAAAACTTTAACGTAAATTCTAAGTCGAAAAAGGGGCATAATTCTGTCAAAATGCTTGATAGAGTTACCTTCTCCTGTCTACAGGTTGGGGTCATGATGGTGAACAAGTGTGCAAAGTTTCAAAGCCATATGTCAATGGACTTTGAAAATATTTGAACTATTACGAAAACTTTAACGTAAATTCTAAGTCGAAAAAGGGGCATAATTCTGTCAAAATGCTCGATAGAGTTACCTCCTCCTGTCTACAGGTTGGGGTCATGATGGTGAACAAGTGTGCAAAGTTTCAAAGCCATATGTCAATGGACTTTGAAAATATTTGAACTATTACAAAAACTTTAACATAAGTGGTTACGCCGACGCCGACGCCGACACCGACGCCGACGCTCGGGTGACTGCAATAGCTCTACTTATTCTTATCGAATAGTCGAGCTAAAAATAACGAAAATATTTTTTTTTATTAAAAAAGATCAGTTTTTTTTTTTCAAATTATTCAAAAGTTCTTTAAAGTAAATTACATATTCTTTTAAAAGTAGTATTTATCTGCTGATATGATTTAATAGGCAGAAAAAATGTTCCCCACGTTTCAAGTTAACAAGAAAAGTGGCAGGACATTATAGCACTTATAAATTAGGTAGAAATTCTGTCTACATTAAATTTTGTTCATCTGCATTAAATAATCTGCATATGATATCATTGTAAAGAATATAACTAATGTTGGTTTCTTTCTAATAAATAGTTTTTTCCAAAGAATACAAAAATAAATGACTAAAAGACAATAAATTTTAACGCACTAAAAAAAATGCCTGAGACAATTTGATTCTAAGGAAATCATGTTTAGTTCAGTAAATAATATATTCTTTATAGCATAATATATTTGTCCTTTCTTATTCATACATAAATATTCAAACAAATGGCAACGAGTTTTCATAACTTAAGATTTATATATACATGTATTATATATATAGTAGAGATATTACATAAAACATTTTTGTTAGCATTATTACTGGTATTAATTATCATTATCATTATTATTATGTATGTTATGAAAACTTGCTGAAGAATATAAAAATTATAGCACCAAAAACAATCAAATGACTGATTAAACTAATAACATCTACTTATCCTGACTAAAATATTAATATCATTTGTAAAATAAATATCCGTGTTGAAATTAATGCATTAAAGAACATGTTTTCGTTTTAGTGAGCGTGGCATAAACTTTGCCGGTAACAATTTTGGTCTATTTTCTTTGCTGTGTATATTTTGAAGACTAGTTTTTGGTGTGACGTATGGAAAGACAAATTTCTTGGTTTCTTCGTATGATAGCTGACGTAGTGGAATAAGACTAGAGTCGTACGTCATCTGAAATGTGGAAAAAATAATTAGAAATAAATTATTTAAGTTATCGTAAAAATACAAAGGCAGTTTTGTTTTCTTTTCTGGAAATATTGTTTTGAGTTTATATTACTAAACCTGATGAATTTGCAAAATCAGCTTTTCCAACTGGTACAGTTTACTCAAAGATTAAGAGATTTATGTATCAAAAGTTTCAGGGAGCTGTGTCACACTGTACACAGATGTGCAAGCTTGCCTGGCTCTATACTGGTGGCAAAGGCTTACAAGATTCGGTTCCAGCAGGTCAACAAAAGCACGATGTGGGTAGGTGAGCTTAAAATAACATAAGCAATTAATGAATAACCAGTACATTTAATACTGATGTATAATAAATATCTATTTAGCACAGTAAAATGTTACGTGTTTATTCAAATTCTATCAAAATGAATTTTTTACTTTATGAAATCTTCTTAATGTACAGTTGTATATCAATAGACGTTTCCTTTAGCTTATACAAATATTTAGACTTGCTTACTAAAATATGCCAATTAAATCAATGTACAAACTGATTGTTACTTCTATGTAAGAATCTTCAATATATGAAAAAGTTACAAACTTGGTTAAGTACAACACTTACTGTTAGTAACAAAGCTAAACATTTAAAACAACAATATAAGTAATGTTGTAATCAAATTTCTTTTTTTTTCAAATTTGCCTTTTGAGCTGCTTGTTACAAAATTGGTTATAATTCTGTCTGTATTTTAGAAAAAAAAATTATTCCATCAAAGAACTTAAATACATGTATAATTAAAGGAACTCCACTGAGGTTTATAAGCCTAAAAACTTTAAATTTTAATTTTTCATATCGATAAACAGGAACACTTAAAAACAGAAATATAAAAAAAAATATAATCAAGACACATACAAGAAATACATTGAATATCATATGTTTGTGCTATTCTCAGTCCGATTTTGGGTCATTTTTCACTATTATATTAAATATTCTGGGAAAAGGAGCGCGCAAATGATCTGAAATTTTGCACATAAATTTTTAGTATAGATTTACATCAAATGGAGTAATAATTTCAAGAAAAAATTTCCAGTTTCTATCATGTCAAAAAACCTCAGTGGATTCCCTTTAATATATTTATTTAATTTACAATAAAATCATGTGCATTAAATAACAAGGATACTTTTTGCTCAAAATTTATTCAGATAGGACTGGAAGAATATGGAAACAATGTGACTCACAGTACACTGTTTTGGATTTTTTCACTACAGTGTATTTCACATTTTATGGATTTTTAGCCTTGAAACACATTATTTCCAAATATACCCATTTGAGCCGTGTCATAACCAACATAATGGGTTTGCGACCAGCATGGATCCAGACCAGCCTGAGCATCCGCGCATTCTGATCAGAATCTATGCTGTTCCCTATCAGTTTCTCTACGTGTTATAGGGTTTGTAAGCGAACACATGGATCCTGATCAGACTGCGCGGATGAAACTTAAATCAATTCAACATTGTTTGGCATACTTCATTTTTCAATAATTTTAGATTAAAACATTATTGACCAAACAGTTTTAGGTATCTTTGAATAATAATAGATTTAAAGGCATTTTGATCTTCATCTTAGAAGAATGTCAGTTCGAGAATACATAATTCAGATATATATTATAGCATTTATCAAAACTTAACTTTTTCAAATTACATCAATTTTCTGTATTACGTAAATAAGATTATAACTCTTGTTTAAACTTTTATTTTCTAACCAAAAACTTTAGTGACAGTGCTGTTTTGTGTAGATTTGTAGTGACTTACACCAGTTCAACCAATCCATTAGTGCAAATCATCAAACTTGAAACTTCAAATTATATCAATTTAATTTAATTGATCTTTATTTGTATCTTGTAAGGAGAAATAATACATGTGTGGAAAGTGTTGCATACACAATCATAATATATGTGCACATGGCAAAAAACTGTGTACATCTTCAAAAGTAACAGCAACGTAAAACTAACAGTGCTGGTGAAAAGCAAACAATGATATCACCTTTGAAAGAAAAGTGTCCTTTTTCCTACTAAATAAGCAAAGCCCTCTGGGTAAAAAAAGAATGAAATAATGCTAATAATAGTAACATTCAACACACTGAGTAAGAAGAAAAGAGAGAAAGATTAAAGATATTTTTGCTGATTCATTAAATATTTTTATCTACATTTTCAGTCTAATATACTTTGTTTCTTGGTTGGTTCAATAAGCAAATTATAGTATATATGATTTAGGCAAAAGCTATTTCAAGAGCATAACATTAAATTTTGTTTTTAATTGGTTCATTATCTAAACAAATTAAAAACAATTACCCTATGATATCACAGGAAAACTAAAGGTTTTAATGTTAAGGTTTAATGTTAGTCCCTAAATGACCAATATGATACATGTCTTTGCCTTGCAAAGCTCTGGTTTCAAAATCCTAATAATTTTTTCGTTTTTTGTTTTTTTGTTTCAGTAATGTTAACAATAAATACATTGGATATTTTGTCTTGTACTAAAAAAATTACAAAAAGTGAGAAAGTAATATAGATCTACTTGACTGTGTAAATAATTAAAATTGTATTTGTATATAAATGGGCATAATGTACATGGATTTCTAACAAAAATTAATGACTTAAAAAATTTAAAATCACTTGTCAAAGTCTATCTAATAATTGAGTATTATAAACATTAAAACAAATTTAGTTAATACCATAGTTAGTGCCACAGATTGAAAATTAAATCAACAAACAACACGGCAAAGCAATGTTTGTAACAGACAGACCAAAATGGTGACGAGATGGAAGCAGACATCAAATACAAGTTCAGTCTTGTGAATGTGTAAAACGTTGAAAAAACACAAACTTTAAAAACTCCTCATTTAACTATAAGAATTACTCACACAAATTCATTTTGAAATTTCTACTCTGCCACCCCAATCTTTAGTACTAAAGTCTGAAAAATTATCAGATAAAACAAATGCAAAATTTAAACAATTGAAATACTCCCTTTGTTTGTGGTCCACTGATTTTGTTTCTTTATAATTATATAAATCCATCAATGTAAAAATGGCATACATTTCTTACATCAGATGATGACATTCTTACCTTTGAAAATTAATTTAAAAATGACCCCATCAACATACACATATAGAAAAAATAAAAATAAATCAACATATAGGCCAGCTATTGTTATTTTGCAGTGCATGACAATCCAGCCAAAGTCAAACATTTAAAAGGTTTGTAAAACTGGACATGTTAGATGTAACAACAATTAATAGAAAATTTAATATCTTTCATGATAGAAATTGACCAAAATTGTCTTAATTTTTGGAAATGGAAAATAACTCAAATTAGCTAACAAAGAAAACGGTAAAGAAAACTAACATTTACTAGTATATCATCAGTTGTAAAGGGTAAGTTTATCAGTAAAGGACATAAAGAAACCAAATAAAACCCCTAAATTATAAATATCTTAAAGCACTGTGTCAAAGCTAAAATAGAGACCATCATAATATGTGTAACATAAAATAAGATCATATGTATATTTTTTTCCTTAGAATTCCTACTTTAACATGTTGGACATTTATTATATTAACTGCCTTTGTTAATTATACATGTTATCTGAAAAAAATACATATTCAAGGTCTGACTAAAGGGTAACTATAGACAACAGCAAGCACAGAAATTTTAAGGAACAAAACATGACATAAATATGTTTTCAAAGCTTTGATTAGTTCATAGATTAATTATCTGGAATTTGGTAAATGTGGGATTTTTGCCCATCTAAATCCCAGGGTACATAAAAACTTTAAACAGTTATTGCTGGACCCGAAAGCATTAAGTCTTTGCCACCAGTATAGAGCCAGGCCAGCCTGCACATCCGTGAAGTCTGACCAGGCTCTATACTGTTGGCTGACAAATTTTAAATATTCAAATTGATATTCCTAAAATTGATAATGGACAGTCCCAAAAATGGAAGTGGGACAAGTCCATTTAAGATATTCAGCATGTTCAGGGTTAAACAAACTTATTGCTTCATGGCGCACTAACGTTCACAATAGAGCCATCAGCATGTTGCACTAATAATGTTATTGATGTATTTACCAAGTTTTAAAAGTAAAGAATAGTTTGTACCATGGGAATAAATGGGGAAAAAGCAACATTTGCCTAATTCCGAAGTTTCTCTATATGCATTATGATTAGAGAATATAACATATTGTTGAACCACATATCATATAAAAGAGTACAAACAACAAGCCCAAGTCAGTAGGTCAAACACTACAAAAATAAATACACATAAGAGTCAGACAAGAGAGTAAAAAAACTGCAAAGCAAAATAGAAGTTTGTTTAGTTATTGTCATATTGTCCATTCGTAATATAAGTTGTTAATCCCGTCAGTACAAAAGCAGCTAAACTCTAAAGCATGCAAAAGAAAGAAATGAAACTTACAAGTGTCCTATATGTCACTCAACAGGATAAATGCAATTTAATTTTTATATCTCTTTGTTTATTTTGTGGGACTGCAAGTGAACGTGATGTAATGACGACTTGCAAGCTTTCCTGATGAAAGGCTTTAAGGTGCCTAAAAATGCATTTTTTTCTGGCAGGATTAGTCACCTGATTTTAATCACAATCATTCTATCATAGTTCACTGGAAGATGATCCTTAATATTCTTTTTGTTCCCTTCTTTCAAACCACAAGAAGTGAAGGAAATGATTCCAAAGTCAGCAACCGTAACCTGAATATCCAATTATTGAAGGCAATTTGGATACTGAGAATTTAGGCATATCAAAATGCTTTGAAGGCAATTTGGATACTGAGAAAAGCACATCAAAATGCTTTGAAGGCAATTTGAATACTGAGAAAGGCACGTCAAAATGCTTTGAAGGCAATTTGGATACTGAGAAAGGCACGTCAAAATGCTTTGAAGGCAATTTGGATACTGAGAAAGGCACAATCAAAATGCTAACATAAAGCTTAACACCTGAAC